GAACATTTAAAATGTGGATGTTAAAAAAAATATTTTCTGTCATCTTATTTTCTTTTTCTTCTTCCTTCTATTATTGTCGAGATTTCTTATACTTGAATTTTCTTATGAAAATAGACGCTTTTCTTTTGCAACCATAAAGTGTACGTTGCTATTGACGATACATCAAAAAATAAACCGTAATAACATCTTCTATAAAAGCGACATCAGAACAGAATTCTTTTAATTTATTATTGGTTCCATTTACATCCATTAATAAACTGCAACATTGCTGCTGCTTGTTTATTCTTGTTCTCTTCAAGAGTAATTTATTTTGCCACAGATGTTGAGCATAAGTTGTACAATGAAATGCTCAAGGTTACTGATATGTCTGGCATATATTATTCAGGGATGTTATAGTGTGAATATTATGGATCATATTGTATTTGCTGTTAATTGTGGCGGAGAAGCACATACAGATATGCATGGTAAAAACCAAAAAAAAAGTTGATTTCATTTAAAATTATTCCATATATTTAGGTATAAGATATCGTAAAGATTATTTAAAAATGGGCATTACGTCTGACTATGGACGTAATTCGGATATATATCGTGTAGCAAGAGAAGATATGGCTCTTTATCAAACTGAACGTTATGATCTTCAAAAATTCTCATATGAAATAGATCTAAGCGATGATGGTGATTATGTAGTTTGGATGAAATTTGCTGAAGTTTGGTTTAATGGACCCAATATGAAGGTTGAAATTTTGATAATTATTTAATTTGATAATTAATATATATTTTTTTTCTTCTAATTATCTTTAGGTGTTTCAAATTCTTCTTGATGATGAACATTCTATTATTGATGAATTAGATATATTTTCAAAAGTTGGTCGTGCTACAGCACATGATGAATATATACCATTTCAAATAAAAAATGGTCGTTTAGTTGTCAAAGGTCGAAGTTCATCTTATTCAGGAAAATTAAAAATTACTTTTCAACGACTTGATCATCGGGATAATCCAAAAGTGAATGCACTGATCATTTGGCGAGGCTCAGTTGAACGTATGTGTTTTTATAATTAGGAAAAATAGATAAATATTTTTATTGATTTTTTTCTAGAAATTCCTAAATTATCACCGATACCAGAAATGGAATTAGCTGATGAACCATTAGATGAAGATGAGAATGAGTATGAAGAAACAGTTGCTAAACCAACAAACGTAAAACGTACTCTTAAAACAAGTGGACCACAAATTTTAGATCCATATGCCGAAGATTCATCAAGTTTATTTGTACCTTTTTTAATAGCATTAGCTGTTGTTTTACCGACTATTTTTTGTCTTTGTCGGCTTTAAACTGATATATTACATTTCCTAGAACATTCTTAGATATAATAATACCGTCCATTTATATATGGAATAAGTATATAAACAATGCTTTTATTCTTTCTGTCTGCGTTACTACTTTCTCTGATATTAATCTCAAGCATTTCTTCTTGCGCTTTGTGTGATAAATATTGTTGTTTGGTAAAGGTGCTCATTCCAACAGCAAGTTTTAGCTTTATATTCTCTGAATGTGTATTATTTGTTGTTACCTAATAAAAATAAATTCAATCAAATCGTTTTTATCATGGAATAGTTCTTATATATATTTATATTAGAATCTAATTTTCTAGTCATATTATATTTTAATAAAACGAAACTCGTAACCATAAGCATTCCTTTGATTCATAGCAACTTGCGAAAAAACGACAAAGAACAGAAACGTTTCTCATTATATTATTCGTGTAAGAGAAAAACAATGGAAGACTTAATAAAACATTAAGTTCAGAGTTACATTTACCTATTACTGATAACTCGAAAAGAATCATTATATATTTCAAATGATTTTATATTTTTTAAAATACCGGCTACATATATAATGTTATTATCATCATAGACAGTACAGAGTGAAAATTATCCAACAGTAAGTACCCATGTAAAAGAAAAGTAGGAAAAAGTCACTAAAAAGTACTTTCAAAAGTAGAATTTTGACGGGCGAAGTATTTATAGGTGAACCTTTTTTCGACTTTAAGTCCTCTTAAGTCTAGGGAAAAGTGAGGAAAAGTAATAAAAAGGGAAAAAGTAAACTTTTTGCTAATTATTACAATTAAAAATGCTTTATATTATTTGAGACATTAAATAATATTATTTTGTAGTTCTCAGAAGTAACGTATAATATTTTTCATTGAAATAATTAGCAAAAAGTTTACTTTTTCCCTTTTTATTACTTTTGTCAGTTGCTTTCAGTATTTTTCCTCGCTTTTTCCTAGACTTAATAGTACTTAACGTGAGAAAAGTTACTAAAAAAGGTTCACTTATAAATACTTCGCCCGTCAAAATTCTACTTTTGAAAGTGAAAAATAGTGTTTTTTTACATGGCTATATTATTTCAAAAAACTACATCTACGTGTTGTTTGCACGATCTTTGATTTATCAATCATTTTAATTTGTGTATAGGTTTTCAATGATTTACAGGCTTGCTATTAAGCGGATCATTCGCTTTCAATTTTGTTTATGAAATCTCAAGTAGAATTCACACTTTATTTTTATTCTATTTCGACAAAGCGAAGTGAAACTAAGATAAAGCCATCAATATTATTTATGTATTTGCATAAAAGAGACACGTTTCAGATTTACCTACTTCTCACATAATTTATTGTCACGATCAAACAATAGCAGATAAGCTATGAAAATCTTTAACATCATTTATTGATAATTCTGAATTACAAATTTTTGCAAAAAAAGGATAAACTGTTGTTTTATAGACAATTCGATATGCGCTATAATATAAACGAATAAAAAACAACACCTAAGAAAAAGTTTGTTATTCTCTTTCTCCTAGAGAAGAGTCCAGTAAACATAAATTGTTTGCGTGCTTGTGTCTCCGCAGGATCAAAAGAACATCGAAGACCAATTTTCCGGAAAAGACATTTCTTGAGGTATGTCGATGCGAGGACTTCGAATCTGAGGTCTATTGGCTGACCACGATGAGTGGGAGAGGGGCAAACGTCAAAAAAAATCGAAAACCGATTCTTCACGGTTTTGAATTGTTTTTCTAGTAAATGTGGAGAAGATGCGTTTCTACGAGAAAGAGCTAAGCGAGTTTTCGGACGAGCGTTACTTATTTTTTAAAAGCGACTTTTTAGAAAACCATTCTATATAAGTCTAAGAAGGATTTTTCATGCTCATATTCGGAATGAACATAGTAATAACCTCTAATTCAATAGTTTTTATTGAAAAAACGATTGGACAGTTAGCAACGTTTCCTTTTAAGATTCTTTACCAGTAGTGAACATTGAAAGAATTAAATATTTATCATTTCTATGGTCTATTTGAAAAGAAAAACATAAATCAACGAAGGATTCGTCTCTTATTCAAGTGTAACATATAATTTGTAGCTTGATTGCAATACAATACATTGATTCTACAATTGATACCTCACTAGTTGACTACCCATCTACTAAAATCTTAACGACAAAATTGTATCATAGTAGTAAATTATCTAATACGAATAATAATATAACAAAGAAATGCTATATTAAATTTCTGTTCTTATGAGATCATTCCTGAAGAGATCGTTTTAACACAAATAATCATGTAATCTTTTAATTTAATAGAAAGCTCACTATTAATTATCATTCTAAAGAAGAAACTAATATTCGATAGCTATTGCATCTTTTCAAAATATGTAATCTAAAACTAACTCCATTTTCAACGAATTTTTTCTCTTTATAGTTCCGAGTCACCATATATCCAGTTCTAATTCTTTGAACTGAGCTTTTTTCTTTGAAAAGAAATATTTCAACACTGATTCCTATCGGTAATTGTAAATCTATACAAAAAAAGAAAAGTTAAATATACGTGTTATAAGTCGATCACTAGAAAAAGAAATTTTTCTTGTTACATCTCTATTCTCACAATATACAAATAATTTTTATATTTCTTTAAAAAGTGTTGTTTCTATTCAATTGACAATTGCATAGAATATTCTGATAAGTTTTCTCAACTTTACTGTTTTAGGTGTTTGTTTCGAATTGTTAATAATGACACATTTTCAATTGGAAAATACGCCGTAATATTTCTCATCGATTATTATTATTGAATATAATATCGATTTTTATTAGCAAAGGAGCTCATAAGCAAAACAAGCTTATCTTCTTCGTCATTAATTAATCTAATTTGACTGGAGAAAAAAAAAACGAATTTTTTTTCTTTTATTCTGATTGGCACAAATAATTTCGTAAATGACGAATACTCATTTATCTCTCTCTCTTTTATGAGCATTATTAATTAGTTTATTTCTATTCAAATAGAGAAAAGCTGAACATATATTGCTCATTTTGATCTTTTGTATAAGTCAAGAAAGAAGTATGAATCCATCCAACAGTAAGTGAATACATTCGACGTAATTTGTTAAACAACAATCACAGCTTTATTTTTTCTCCAACAAAAATATCTTTTATGTTATATTTAAATAAGTTACATTCTTGGTTCGTATTTAGTTTATTATCAACAGCAACAGCAGCAACAATTAGCTATGAATAAACAACAATTTCATGATTCTGGTATTGTTGATGAAGGTCTTTCGGATGAAACCGGTTCAGTAGAAGATGAATCAAATAATCATTCAGGTATGAACTATTCTTTCTTTCTATGTTGATGTATATTGTAATTTATGTATATTAGATGAAAATGATACACCAAAAAAACCAAGTCAGTCTTATCTTGAAATAATCGCTGAAGCAATTTTAAAAGCACCAACTCGTACAATGCAATTATATGAAATTTATAATTATTTTCAACGAAAGTATGTTAAAATTCGAAGTTAGTATAACAAAATTTAATTCTGTTTTAAATAGGTATCGATATTTTGCGGAAGATGTGAATAAATCTTGGAGAAATAGCGTAAGACATAATTTATCATTAAATGATTGTTTTGTTAAAGCAGGTCGAGGAGTGAATGGTAAAGGACATTGTAAGTATAATTTATCTAATGATAGAAAAATCGATATTGAAAAATATTTTCTTTGTAGTTTGGCGTATTCATGAATTAGCTGAACGAGAATTTGAACAAGGTCGTTTTCGTCGTCGTCGTTATCGTCAACAAATGCGACAATTACAAATGCAACCATCACCCTACGAAAGTCAACCAATGCCATCATTCTATCCTTCAAATTCATATTATATGTGCTCACCACCTCCATCATATCATACAATCTATTCGTCATCTCCAAATACTCCATCAGGAAATCATCCAATGAATTCAATAGAATCGTCACCAACAATGACAAATTTTCATATGATATCATCACCGCCGACATCTTATTCATATTATGATCCATACTCAACACCTTACTATCCGATGGCTTCATCATATGCAAATTCAAATGATTCAGTTCATTTTGATGCATAGTAACTTTCTTGACAGATTTAATTTTTATTTTTGTGTATATTTCTCTTGTTCAAATAAATACTGTACGTTTGATATTCATTAATTGATGAGCGTTAATGATAAGTATGAATTACTCGAAAGAGAATTAGCTATGGCAAGAAAAAAAAACTAACGATCAAATATTGATAATAAGTAGTGTGAAATGAATTTTGTTGTCGGCATAGAATAGAATAGATTATTGAAAGAAGAAATTTAGTTTATAGAATGTTATGATACTTCACACGTAACTCAACAATAATTCTCAATTAAACAAAACAACAGCAGGAGGCATATGTATAACTCTTTACATTCATGGTTACGATTAATCCGATTTTCTTTTTTTTGTGTTGATGTTGCTCGTTTATGCCTGCATGTGGAAATGATAAACGGGATTAAAGAAATATTATTATGTGAATTATTGTTTCAAGAATAGTATATATTGTACTGGGAAATAGATACTAATTAACCCTTTCAGGACTAGTTTTGTTTTCACGATCAGAGTATTATTCTTAAACCATATTTTTAACCGCGACTAAAAAAAAAACTTTTTTTTAAAAAAAGCCTGGATCCCCCTCCAGGGTAGGTGGTACATATGTTGTACTACGGTCCTGAAAGGGTTAAAGGAGATGCGTTGATACCGTGTTTAGGTGAAGATTTATTTTATTTTGTATACCAGAAAAACTATTATTAAATATATTGTAGTGAAAAAGTAGAAATTTTGATTCTATTTAGCAATACATCATCATTATTCACAATAACTATCATGGCGAGCGATATGTTAGATAAAATGTCATGGACATCGATCTCTGTATAAGAAGAGATTATTTTAGAATTTATTGTCTTCTGCATTGTGAGTTACAAGATAATTGGCTTGATAATATCGAATATTTGATTAAACCTGTTCGTTTCGCTTGTACATGCCTTTAGGTATTACTAATTGCTTTGCTAATTGTAAATATAGTGAATAAGAAATTTATTTATTTATCGAGATTCATTATGAAATGCAACTAAATATAATATATCGCGACTATGAATAACATTAGAACATGGTTTTAAAGTACCGATCTAGTTAATTTTCTCTTTTGGGTATTTCTAGTTGAAATTCGGTTTAGATGATAAACACATTGCTTTTAGCAAAATCTATAAATATATCCTTTCGCTTTTATGTAATCAATTGAGTTTATTTATTTTGCAATACTCTTAATTGATCGTTGTCTATGATAAATGACTTTTACGTTAGGAAAAGATATTAATTTTATTCTATGTGACACGTGTTTTGTTTTCTTATCTTTGCTTTTATTTAGATAAAATTTGCGTAATTAGTAAACAGCTAGATGTATAGATCTAAAATAAAATCCTTGATCATATTCCTGATCTTATTTTCAGTTTTTATTTCGTTTAATAAAAAGGTAAAATGAATATGTTCTCAGATGACAATGAGAAAATTATCAAAATCATTCTTTAGATCTTGTTAAACGAAACAATATCAACTGATTGAACGTAATCTTCGAATTCACAAATTTTTTCTTCAAGAAAATCAGTTCCAACCTAAAATAAATATTATTTATAATAATAATAGATAAATAATAAAAATCAATTTACTTTATCATCTTCAACAACACAATTAATTTGTAATTTTTTAACACCAAAAGCAACTGGTACAAATTTAGCTAGAAATAATAATAATCAATATTAAAAATTTTCAATAATTTAATTTCTCTTTATTTACCTTGTCCCCAGATAAGACCATCAGTTTCAATTGATCGTACCGATTTTTCCATTGCAGTAAGATCAGTTTCATCATCCCAAGGTTTAATATCTAATAAAATTGAACTCTTGGCAATGATTTGAACTTCTACAAAAATAAAATTATTCATTATACATAATATGAATTAAATATTAATTATTTACTTGTCGATTTCTTTGCGGCATATGCAGCTAAACGTTTTTTTGTTTCTTCACTTTCTTCTTCATCATCCGAACCAAATAAATCAACATCATCGTCATCAGCAGCTGGTTTTTTTGGTTCAGCTGGCTTCTTTAAATATATAAATTAAATTAAATGATAAATATTTATCAACTAAACAAGAAATCTTATTCTATTAGACGAGGAAAATTTTCTTTTTTCTTTCTATCTATATGCATATATGTATGTATATCTGACCGCACTAATGATTTGTTTGTTCGTTTCAAGTTGTTCCACACGTCGTTTAAGATCATCAAGCATTTGTAAAATATTTTGATGTGTTTTTTCGATTTTAACCAAACGTTCATCGGGATTCATATCCATAGTCGTAGGCGAAATTGCTACCGGAGCAGCAGTATTAGTAATAATTTTTCTAACATCACGAATTTGTTCACTTAAACTTGCCTGCAAGATTTACGAGAAATTTACGATGTATGTAAACATACAAAGGCACCCCATGCATACGAACAGGTATACAAATATGCAATATATATAGGCGAGTAAAGGGTACATAGAAAAGCGGTAGGATACGTACAACTATGCAATGCGCAGAGGAGAACTTTATTGAAAAAAAAAATCAATCAAAAAAAAGCATGCTATGATGCATATAATTGAAACAATGTAAACTAACCTGTTGTGTTGTTTTTGCTACTTCAACTTTTTCTTGTTTAACGTGTTGACCACATGAGGTTGCTACGTTTCCTTTTTGGCTCTAAAAATAATAATATATATAAAGAATTAAAACCGGTAGAAAATAATTTATAGAATTTACAAAAACGGCATAATGTGTTTGTTCAGCAAGATCAACTTCGTATTTAGGAAACCATGTGTTAACATAAATTAAATGTTCAAGCATTGTTGATTGATTTTATATGTTAAGAAGCCGTAGACAAAGAATAAATCTAGAAATTTAAAGTATAAGATATTCACATATATTTATAATACGTTGAAAAGGGTGATGCAATATTTCTTTCGTAATAATGAAAAAAATTTATTTATTTAAAGTTGAGCCAATTGTGCTTCGAGTTCTTTAACACGTTCCCGACTTCGTTGTAATTCTTGATTATTTTTTAATTCATATAATTTATTTCGTGTGGTTTCTGTACGCATTGAAGCTAAATTAAAATCTAACCAAGAACCATAACATGAATCTTCATGTGGTAAACCAGATGATATACGTTCTAAATTATCTACACTTGTATGTAATAATTTTTGTACAGTATGTGCATTTTCAGAAAAAATTCGAACTAATGGTTCAATCTGATCACGAGCTAATGGTTCGGAACTTAATTGTTGAACTATATTGCCAGCATTCCATAACATTATTCTTAAATTATCTTCAGCTGTACGTAATTGTTCAAGAGTTTGAGATGTTGTATTCGTAAAATCCGTCATTTTGTCGAAGAAAATAAATAAGAAATAAGTATCGTAACGATTTCTAACTGTATTGTACTATATTTAGCCAACACCAAGGTTTATAAATATTTATGATTGGTTAAAAAAATTTTTCTCAATTCAAAAACAAAAATAAAAAAATAAAAATAAAATTAATAAATATATTATTTAATTTTTTCAAAAAAACCAAATTTGTTTACGCAATAGAATATCATTGGTTAATAAATTAACCAATAGAAAAAATTAGATGAGACACAGTACGAGTTATGATAAAAAATAGTTCATTGTGAAATCATCTAATGGCTAAACATCACCCTGATTTAATATTTTGTCGGAAACAAGCTGGTGTTGCAATTGGTCGTCTTTGCGAAAAATGTGATGGCCGCTGTGTTATATGTGATTCATATGTTCGGCCAACAACACTTGTACGAATATGTGATGAATGTAATTACGGTTCATATCAGGGCCGTTGTGTAATATGTGGTGGTCCAGGATGTTCAGATGCATATTATTGTCGAGAATGTACAATAACAGAAAAAGATCGAGATGGTTGTCCAAAGATTGTTAATTTAGGAAGTGCCAAAACAGACTTATTTTATGAAAGAAAAAAATTTGGATTTAAAAAACGTTAAATATATAAATATATATTATTATTTTTTTGTTAATAAATCAAATAAAAAAAAACCATGTAAAATCTTGTTCTAGATGAATATAAATGATAAAAAAAAACGTAAAGTTACGTTCGAAGAAATAGATGAAGAACATAAAAAAGCAAAAAAAACTGTTCCACAAGATACACGTTTACATAGTGGCAAATATACATTAGATAGTGATGAAGACGATGATGATGAACAAGCAAATGCAAATGAAATGAATCAAAATGAACTTGATGGTTAGTTTATATATTTATTAATAAAATAAAATAATTATTTTTGTCTTTATAGATATCGGACAAGAAGGTGCAACAATTGGATTTGATGATGATGTGAAAATTACACCATTTAATATTGACGAAGAATTAGAAGATGGACATTATGATGAAACAGGATGTTTTCATTGGAAAAAGAAAGATGTACTTACATTTTCGCTTCTCTTTTAGATTTTTGACTATACTAAAACATACTAGTTACTGCATAGACTAAAATATCTATCTCATTCTCTAATGGTTTGCAGCGAAAGAAGGTATTCATCTTTTTCGAAGATCCAGTATGAAAATTCGATGAGTGACACTGCCAGTTATATCGAATCCCTTCGTTTTAATTTAGTGAAATCTTTGTAAAATTTTTTGAATTTTAAATCGAATATAATTCTATTATTTAGAAAGAAGAAGTTCACGATGCATGGCTCGATGATATTGATTGGACAAATGTTAAAAATTATAAATTAAAAAATCCTCAAGCGACCGATGAAGGCCTTGATGATCCAGCAAAAGATAATTTATCTGACGATGATAAAGCAGATGATAGTAATGAATTTAATGAAATAAAAATTATTCAATCAATGCTTTCAATTATGCAACCTGGTGAAACAGTTGTTCGTACAATAAAACGACTTGGAGCAATTCTATCAACGTAATAAAGAAATTTTTTTAGTTTTATATCTATTTTGATTTTCTTCTAGTAATAAACCAAAACAACAGGGAAAACAACGAAAATTACTTCCCGGTGAAATTCCAAAATCAACAACTATCGAACAAACACCTGAAGAATTAAAAAAAAATAAACTTTTACTTGAAGAGATGTCTGGTTGTGCTGATCAATTTGTATCTAATGGTGAAATTGATATTTATCAAGAAACATATGAACGTCTTAAATCAAAGCTTGATCGTTCTCAAACATCAACTACTTCAAAAGCAACAACAGATTCATCATTTGATATGTATGGTGATAGTGATGTAACTTCATCTACAAATAAACCAGCATCAACTAATACAAATGGTAAGACTTTGTTGTGTATGGTTTTTCTTTTAAATAGATTTTTTTTCTATAGCTTCATCAGAAGTTCTTTGGGAATATACAACAGATGAAAATTCAGCTGACAATCTTCAAGGTCCATTTACCACTGAACACATGATACGTTTAACAAATATGGAAGGAAAATTAGATAAAAATATTGTACGTTGTCGTCGTGTTGGTACGCAACAATTTTATTCCATAAAACGTATTGACTTCGATCTTTATCTTGATTAAAACTATATTATGTGTAAATAGAATTCTTTTTCGTTCTCTCTTGTTGTTATTGATTCAATAAACAAAAAACAGTGGATATAGAAAATTTCTTTCATATATATATTTTGATTGAGATATTGCAAATAAAAGATAATATATATTTAAATAAATAGTTGGTTTTAATGTTTATTTTATAAATAAATTTGTGTATATAAAAGATAAAGGAAAAAAAAAGGATATAACTAATGTATCATAAGTCCGATGTAAAAATATAACTAATAATAAAAGGCGGTAGAAAGAAAGAAGGACAGATGATATTAGAGAAAAAAAAAATACTCATTCTCTTCAATTATTTACATTTCTTGTTTTGATTTTTGTAAAAGTGGTAATGATTCGAGTTTTGGTCGATGTTCATGGATGGCATCAACAAATGAATAGCCAAGAACTTTTGGTTGAAATTGCATTGGAAAGTATTGAATAAATTCCATTTCTGGTTGAAGATAATCATAGACACGTACTTGCATTGGTGACCATGACATAACTGTTGATAAACGTTCAAGACACCATTCCATACAGATTGGTTTACCGTACCATGTTGATGGAACATTGATGAATAAACTGAGTTTATGACCACATCGTTCATATTTAAAGTACATAACTTGTTCAACACGACTTAAGAAGAATCCAATTTGACGTTCATTGACACGCATACCTGATGGAAGGTGCATTTCAATAACCATTGTACGATTGAATGTATCTTTAATGAATCGTTGATGTTCGCTTGTTGGTGTGTATGTCATACATGTTTTAGCCATAATTTCGCTGAACCATGACATTGGTTTGAATTCTTGTGTGAATGAAAATGGCATTGGTCCCATTGCTTTTGTTTGTTCTTTTTGAACATATACTTCATCGATGGAAATCATAGCAAGACCGAAACCTTTAACTGAATAAGTAATTTGACGAACTGGTGCAGTAAAATGTAACATTTGTGAGTAATCCATATTTTTTGAGTTAATTTTGAATTGTCGTTTTTCTCCACTATCAGATGAAACATCGATTGTAACATCGAATTTTTCGATACCGAAGTGTTTATAGAACATAGTACGAATGTTGAACCAAGCATCAAAATAGAAAACACCATCTAAGATTGTATCAAATTGTGGGTGAACTTCAACTTGGCTAATCAACCAACGAGCAATATCAAATGTTGTTTTGTAATCACCATACATAGCATAAAGTGAAGCAGTCATAGCATTAACTAATAATTCATCATCAAATGTCATTTTGTTATCAACATTTTTTAAGTATTTTGAATTATCTTCTGGTACAACAGTTAATTTTCGTGATAAAAGTGTTTCGTGGATTTTTTCACGTAATTCTTTTGATAAAAATCGGCTTTGTAAGAATGTTAATTCAAATAAACTGATTGGTAATAAATGTGGTTTGATTTCAGTAATACGTGATTCTAAATAACGGTGTGCACGCATAATTGGGCTCATTTCACCATCGAATAAACGATGACGAATAAATTCTGGCATATAATCAGATGAATTATCACGTGTAAGTGAATAGAGAACAAAAGCTGTTAATGATTCACGACGGTATTCACCAGCACAGAATCGATAATGGAAACAGAAACCATCACAATCGAATGAACCATCTTGTTGTTGACGAGATAAGATCCAGTTTAATGTACGGTTAAGTGTAACGTTATCACGGAATGGCATCATTGGTGAAATCATAGCACCAAAAGCTAATGATGTATAATAGAGTGATGAAAAGTTTTTACCTTCTTCTGGAATAAATGAATATGAACCATCATAATCATTATAATATTGAAGTTGTTGATAAGCGACTGTGATGTTTTCAGCTGTCATGTTAAATAATGGTGATTCAGTTTGGAATGTTTCATTTAAATAACGACGAAGACTGAGTGCACGATAAAGATGAAAAAGTGAACGATCCATACCAACTAAAGGTTTGATTTGGAATTTAGCATCATAAGTGTAACGATCAAGAAAAGTGCCTAAAATTTAAGAGAATAAATAATTTAATATAAAAATAACAAAAATATTGAATCATTACTTGAAGCAGAGAATCGAACTGCACGAAGATTTGATGGATCAACAATTTTTTCAACAATTGGACCATATGATTTCTTTTCACTTGTTAAATCGAATAAACGTGATACAATTCGTTGATGTTCAATACCTGATTCACGTACGTGCATTGTTAAAATTTCATAATCACCACCGAAATCAGATTCGACTTCAATGATAACTTGAATAAGACCAGCGCGTTTTGGAATAAGAACCATGTGACGTGTTTCAACAGCGAATGATTTAAGTGGCATTGTGAATGTATAATCTTTGTCTTTGCTTGATAAGATTTCTTCTGGTTTTGATTGTTCAAAAAGATCAAAATCAGCGGAAGCACGAATACGAAGAATAACATTGGTTAAATCTTTTTCAAGATAGTTGTTAATACCGAATGATAAGAGAACATGTTCATTAACTCGAGCTTGTTTAGCAAGGTTACCAAGAACGAAAAGACCACGGTTTGTTGGTAAACGAAGTGGTTGAGCAATTGATAAACCTGTTTTATCGTTAAGAGCGAATCCAGTTGCGACCCATGTTGAGTATGGTTTTGTTTGTGGGAGAACAACTTTACCCATACCTTGAGATTCAATACGGCTTGTGTTAAAGAAGATTGAACGATAATAATTAGTACGTGCTTGTTCTTCGAGCATAATTGGTGGAACCATCATAGATAAATCAGATTCAACCATATATCGTTCGAGTAATTCACGAGCTTCATCACGCATATTGAATGATGGACGTTCCATAAATGTTGTTGATTCATCACGGAATGTTCGGAATAATTTTGTGAAATTTTCATGTTTCATTTCAATTGGCATACGTAATGCATCGAAATCAGAAACAATTGTTAATCCTGAGTGCATAAATTTGAATGCTTCTGGTGTAAATGAGTTTAATCGTGTATTCATTCGTTCGTACCATGTTGATGTACCATATTCTGATGATTTTTGATACATTGTTTCGTCTTTTGAATCAATTTCAACATCCATATTTTTCTTTTCTTCGGGTTTACGTGATGGCATTGGTTTTGAGTCAGCTGTAAAGACAAGTGGGATACTTGTAGCAATAATATAATCATTATCATTAACATTAACATCGTATTGATTCATTGATTTTTCGAGTTTACGACGATAGTGTGTTGATGATGGTCGTTGACTTTCCATATCACCATAGAGACGGCCCATATCGGATGAAATATAAATATCATCACCTTCAAGTGTTGGTAATGTATGTGCTGTGTTAATACCAAGCATCATTTTTTCAATTGGATAACGCATTTCATAGCCCTAAAACGAAAATTTAATTTAATTTAAAAAAATTCAGTTGTTTTTTTTAGTACCATTCGTTCACGGTTGATTTCCATTTCTTCATCGTGTTCACTGATTGTTCGTCGAGACATACCCATTTGTCCTGGCATATTCATTTCTCCTTGTACACCCATTGGTCCAGTTTGTCCGTTCATTGGTCCAGTTTGTCCGTTCATTGGTCCAGTTTGTCCGGGCATTGGTCCAGCCATTGGTGAATCACCAACTTGACGTTCATGACGAACCATTGATTCTTCTACTGGCATGGTGAAAAGTGGGACATGTTCATATGTGGTTAAATATCTGAGTAATCGTTCTTTGGTAATTTCAGTTGATAAACCTTGTAAAATACCATCGAATTCAAATACATTAAGACCAACAGTTGATTCAGGTACACCAGTAAATGAAAGTTCAACACGTGATCGGTCTTGTGCTTTGCTTGAAATACGAATTGGTTCCATTTGCATATATTTCATATATCCAAAGTCGTTAACAATTGTTTCAGTTGGTGTAAATGGAACAATTGTTGCATTTAAAGTTAATGGATTTTGGAAGAGACCAGCAACTGCGAAACGATATGATTCAGCAACAGTGAAATTGAATGTTGGTTGGAATGTATAGACAAGTAATGTTGAATATGGAATCATGTCACGTGTAATATGAATTGGTAAAGTACCATTAAACATACATGTTGGTGGTGTTTGTTCTTCTGGACGAATTGTACGAACAGTTTTTGAATTACATTCTTTTGTTGGTTCAATAAAAAATTCACCAGTAAGAGTGATACGACCGTTTGTCATAAGAACATATGACATTGGTAATCGTTCAAATTTTTCAATTGGTTTTGATGACATTAATTGAACATAGAAGTTTGAAATGCGACCAACAGTTGAGACTTGTGAGCTAATGACTGGAACATTAACATCAGTGTTGAGTGGAGCAACTTTTGATGGTAAAAGTTCAATTGTTAATTTAGCACCAGTACGACGAGGTGTTGGCATAAGTGGAAGAGTGTGTGTGCGATAACCATGTTCTTTACCATCTTCACTGATTGGTGTCATCTAAATAAAATTAAATATAGAATAAAATATTTCAAAAAAAAAATATATAATACATACTGTCATAAGAACACCGATACAGTTTTCTGGGAAAGTAAGATGGAAGAAACCCATATCATTACGACCACGTGTATAGAAATCTTTGATTTCAACAATTTTTTCATCTTTTTGTTTACCATGTTCATCACCAAGAATCATACGAACATGAACAATCATATCTTCCATTTTAACTGGTTTACCATCTGGGCGTTTTGCAATAATTTCAAATTCATTTTCAGTACCAGCTTCAAATTCAAGTGGACGAATATCATAGATAATGTCACGTGCGAAAACTGGGATAACATGACGAACGATACGTTCTTGACCAGACATAAGATCGGTTACTTGAATGTAAACTTGAATACCAATAACTTTGGTGATATCAATGTTAAATAATGATAAGAGATCATAATTTAATTCAACACGACCAGCAATTTCGAATTCGAGTGATTTCCATTTGCGCCATTCTTCAGTTTTTGATTTTTCTTCTTTTGATGATTCCATTCTCATTTTTGAATCCATTTCTTGTTCCATGATTGGACCAACAGCAACAATAGCACGACCAAAGATTGGTGTATTATCATCACAATCCATTTCGATAACACCTCGAAGCATTTTGTCTGTACGAAGAAGAAATCGTGAAAAAATAGCTTTAAGATCGAATGATGGTGTAACTGGACGAACAATAAGAACATCAACTGATGATGTTGTGTTGGCAATAACAGCTGAAACAAGCCATTTACCAGCATTAACATCTTCAGCAATTGGGAATCGAAGAGTTTCAGTAAGACCTGATCGAATTGGAACACGTGGAAATTCACCGACAAGTTTAAGAAGACCGTCATAAATTTCAACTTTAAGTTCACCATTTTCAATTGGCATAAATTCTTCAGTTGTAGCAATAACACGAATTTCCATCATATCACTTGGACGATAGACTGTTGCTGATGTTTGAACAAGCATCATATGACGATTGTCATAGACAATAATATCACGTCGTTCTTCAAATGTAAGACCACCGGTAGCTGTGATGATTAATTCAGCAGCACCAACTGGAAATTCTTTTGGAAGAGCTAATGTGGCATTTCGTGTTTCACCTGATTTGCAAATTGTTTTTGATTCAAGATGTTTTTGACCAAAAACTAATTCGAATTTAACTTCAACTGGTTTTGGAGCATCAGCAATGAAGATTGAAAGTTGATTTTCATAGTCAACTTTAAGAAGTTTTGGTACGATAACGAGATAAGAACTAAAAATAAAATCAATTTATATATATATATAATTTATTACAATAAAAAATAATTAATTACTTTTTAGCAAAAGCTACGCTTGATAAGGCAACCAAGCCTAAAATGATCAATGACCACTATAGAAAAAAAAAGCATAATAAATATATTTAAGATCAAGTTATTTCTACTTACATTCATTGTGGTTGAAGAGAAGAGATTGTGATTTGAACTGTTATCGACATAGCTATATATAGGAGCAAACACAGCTGACTAGATACTATAGGATAAGTCAGATAATTCTATAGTCAGCACTGTTATTGTATATTCAATAGACAGAATGTGTAAAGCGAAACAGATAAAACAAAGGAAGTATTTACGTCGATATATATTTCATATCCCTCGATATACGATTAAATAAAAGAAAAATCACACGACGTAATCATGTGCTTTGGTCTATCATCATATCGTCTACACAAACAAAGGACAAACTGCACTTCGTATGCACGCCGATTGTGAAGAAAATTTTATCGATTTAATCAAAATAATGATCTTGCTTAGATAAAACTATTTACATCTTGTATGATGTGACTGAAAAGTTTAAAAGATTTTTTTTCATATTATATTCACAATCATATATATTAACATTTTATTTTAGATAATAAAACATCGACCTTCTTCAAAATAATTATGCTCTTGCGTATTAACAAGAATATTACTTATAAATGATTATAATGAATTTAAATCGAGTGAAAATAATTCTTTTTTTTCCATTTTTCAGCAAGATACATCGAGAAGTTTCTAGAACATCTTATTAAATAGTAGATATTTCTAATAAATAATATAAAATCTCGTTTTTTTAGTTATTCGTCCATCTTGATAGCTTTATTGTTTCTGACTGTTATTTACATATTTTTACCCATCTTCAATTTTTCTTTTTTAGTTACTATTGATTAGTCCATCATTTTGATGTCGTATCTTTTGACGAAACTATTATATCCAAGAAATTTCACATTATAAAATTATATGAAAAATGAATTCATTGTATGAAACTGCATATTATCAATAAGATGAAATATCTTTTCTTTTTGAATATGCTATAAACATTTCATATGACTAGATTTTCTCAGTAGTAAGGATATAAACTTTCAATTGATATGTGTAAAAAAATACACTAATGGATGTAATTGTTTGAACTTTATTTAATTTATCACATGCAATAATTCATTCGATTTAATTAATATAAACTAACAGTTAGTGAAAAACAATCTGCAATTGAATTATTTCTACGTTGATTTTTGTTTGCATTTATTTAGTTATTATGTCCATTCTATATTTTGATTTGAAGTGCAATATAATTGGGTATTCTCGATAGAATCGAAATAAATAACTGCATTTGTATGTAGTGTTTTCATCATGTAATATATTGAAAAATTCCATAGCCGACAAAGAAACTTAATATATTTTTGTATATAAAAAACAAAATCCAGTCATTCATTCTGATTTTTTTTCTTATATTTATATTTCCAGAAAATCATTACAGATTAAATATTTTCTATTTAATTAATTGAAAAGCACTGAGAATTCTATCTAGACTCAGTCAGAATAAATAATGGGAGAATATATAATGAATATCCATATTTTAGTCAATAAATAGATCGCATTTAAAAAGAAAATATTAAAAAATGTAGCGAGAAACATTCTACAATCTATGACAAAAAGTGTATTTTTATTTACTTAATAATAATCTTAGCAGTATGATTCAAATTATAGGATCTATGTTTAAAAAAACTACGGAATCCAGTCAACTAAAGAAAATTTTGATTTTTATATTTATCAATAAATTAGATTTTTAATAGAATATAAAAATTTCAATTAAGTTAAGTATCAATTCTATTGATAGCCTTTTTTACGTTTTTCTCATATAAAATGTTGAAAAAAGAATATTAAGTGTAAATGACACATGCCAAAGATGCGTAAAACATTTTTTTTAAATTACACGATTTCTACAGCATTTTAAAAAGATTGGATATGTTTATTACTATATAGAATGCACTAGAACCAAACAATTAAGTTCCTTTTTAAAAAATACTCTATAATACTGCGTGTCAATAAGTGCAATAGACGAAGAAAAAAGAACTAAACATCTCTTATAAATAAACCCTAATGCTGTCTAATTACTAAACAGACGAATTATCGAATTTTTACTAAATATTCCTGTACGATCTAATACATTAATATGAAATTATTTCTCAAATACGTCCATCATCAGTAGAAATATAAATCAATGTACATTATCGGCAATAATTTTTGTTTACGTAACAAACGAATCAACATAGAACAAAATATTGATGATTAGATTGCTTTTAAACGTACTACGATATTATATTGTCAATAATAAAACAAAATTAATCCTCTAAATTTTAAAAAGCTTCTTAATGTTATTTTAAGTAAACTATAAATTTAAAATAAAGCTATATCAGGCGTCTAGAAAATATTATCAAATGCGCAGTACAATATTTATAAAAAAAAACAAGTGTTGTCGATTAAAAATAAGTATATTTAATCTTATAGAATATTATTTATATACAATGTACTTTTCCTGATAAAAGTTGTTATATAAGAAATCCGAAAAAGTTCTAATTATCTCTTCTACGTATAATTCTTTCATGGAAAAAAAACATGCCTGATTAAAATGTGAACTTATCTGTTACCCGGATGTTTAATTTTCGCATTATAAATCATTTTAGATAATTAAAGCTCATTAAAATGTATAATGATTCAGTTCTTTTTATTCTCTTTAGAAGAAAAGTTTATCTATAATATATATATCCTATCATTATCTATGTTCTTAAATTTAATTCGATACTAATTTGAAGAAATTTTAAACATTCCATCCGATAATGCGTGGATATTTACGTAATGGAAAATATGAAGAGTAGAAATGACGGAGCAACTGTTGAATATAGAAATTTATCGATTTGACATGATTAATTTGCCAGGTTTTTTCTATGCCTGTGTCATATTTCATTATTAATTATTCTTAAACAAATGAAATAAAAATTGTATGTGTCTTATTTCTCGTATCATATATATGATTATAATCTTCGACAAATTGTATACGTAGGTGGACACAATAATTTTTGACATCGACAAAAAAAAAGTATGCGTAAAACTCATAATATTGTGGTTTAAGAAGCTCTAAGTATTTAAAAGTCATGCACATGCTTAATCATAAAATCCTAGAAATTGAAAAGATATAAATAAAACTGCTTTTAATTAGGATTGTATTGATATTTTATTATGTAATGAAAATTCTTATTAATAAAACTAGGTAACACAATTAATAATAATAGAATTGTTGAGAGATTAATCTTTATTTTTCTCATAATGTGATAATATATAACCCTGGAAAATATGCTTGTTTTTATTGTATTATTCATAATATAGATCATAGAAGAATAAATTCTAATTTATAAAACATATCTTTGTAAACATAAGAATTATATAGAACGTTAAAAAGGGTAGATGTCTATTTGACCTTTAGGTTAGAAAGCAATACAAAACTTTTCTTCTATTAATGAAAATAATCTTGAAAGCAGCTTATTAAAGCTTGAATATATGATCAAATCTTTATTGAAGCATGCACAGCAAAGATAATTTGAATTATGAGTGTGTATATTCAACTTGGTCATGCACAAATAAAAACTAATAGAATAAAAACGAAGAGTCTTCATTGAATAGATAAGAGAACGTGTTCTTAACTCGCTCCTACTTTATCTCTTGATTTAAACTCAATTTATTTTAACTAAACATTAATGAAGCAAATTAGAAATTCATCGTATAGAAAACTTTCTATCTATTAAGATACTTGAAGAAAGAAAGAAAAAAAATTAAGCCTGTCATATATCTAGATAAATAATAAGGCTTTATATATCATAGTCAAATAAGCAGAAGTCGATAATGTATAGAAACATAGATCTCTCAATTATGGGATGCTATATATTTTTTTTTCTTGCTTTTCTATTTGCCGTGATAATTGCCTGAGAGTTACATGTCTTTTTAAGAACAACCTTTACTTTGTAGATCTGTTATTCTTTTGAGAATTACATATATCACTTTATTAGTCTGCCTATATATTTATTCATTTTGCGTTGGTAGAAAAATAACATTAATTTAGGTTTGCTTTTCTACATATTAATTTCTAGTTATAAAATTAAAAAGAATAACCTAGTGTTAAGTATTACTTATTAAATCTTCTCTCTATTATTCATACATCTTCCTAAAGAAAACTAGATAATATATAGAATCTCAACATAAATCACGGTAATCATTTAATAGTAGAAAAAAAGTTTATGATGAAAGAATCGTTGTGTTTCTGTTTATTCTCTTCTCTAAATTAGACTAATAACGCTAAAACCAGAAGGTAACTGTCGCTTTCGAGTCAAGTTATGTGGAAAAAATGTTCTTCTACTAGATCGATATAATAGTATTCATTTTTCCTAGAAGATAAAAAAGAAAACAATTTAAAATCGTATTATTTCTTCTCAAATAATCAATGAATATCCTATTATGTAAAATTACTAGACTGAATAATCGATATTGAGACCTTTACATAGTTAATAGAACGATTTCATCTATTTATAGGATCATGTAGGCGATTATTATGTAGGAGAAAATTATCTCTAAACATTATCTTTAATTTGAAGGTAGCATGTAATTATTTGATCTATTTTTTCATATATATAGATATAAAGATTAAACCATTGGAGAAAAGTGATCACACAAAAAGAGCTTATTACTTGTTTTGTAGTTATAATCTTTTAAATGAGTTAGAAGATAAGACAAGAAGGAAACACATACAGGAAAAACTGTACGTGACAGACATGTTTTTATTTCCTAATTTTTTTCTTCTTCTTCTTCTTCTTCATCTATTTTCTCAATCTGACAGCATGTGTGAAAATGTTCCTATGCTAAGATCACTTTTGTACTAATGAGTTTCCTGAACTTCTCTTTCTGTTACAGTATTCGTTATCTTCTATTCCCTATAAAGTAAAAATAAATATTTCGCTGGATAGACTAAAATGGATTTTTTGTATATCCATGTTTTCTTCTTTTACATACATTTGTTTTTTACTATTAATAACAAGCGCATTGATAGTAGAGAAAAACATGCGATGTTTTCGAATTAATCAATATTAAAAAATAACTAAATAGTAGACAATATATTTTACTTATTCTTGTTTTTCTTTATTCTTCATATATTTTTGTCATTTTTATTATTCGTTTCTTCAGTAAGTTCTCTTTATTTTCTTTTTTTTGCATGGGATGATAATGATGATCATCATAATTCTTTCTCAAAAGTCATCAACAAGTTAATCAATTCTGACTTGCAATTGTCTTTGAGAAAGAGATGAAAAGAAAATGAGAAGAAGAGATTTAGATGACAAATGATCATCATATACTTGCCGAGATGAACACGCCAAATAAGTTACTAAAAAAAACAATCTCTCTTTTGTTTAATAAAAGCAATTGATATTAATATTGCACATTGTATGTGTTTTTATTGTTGTAGGTCGTCCTTATCCATTTTCATTTTTATTTCCTCCTGATTGTCATCATCATCATCATTATTTACTTGTCGAAATGAAATCTCAAGTGCTCACACTTCTATTATTGACCATCGGCGCTCATTTATTTCAATCAACGCATCAAGTAACTTTACAAAAACATCTATCTATTAACAATCTATATTTTTGTTTGTTTCTAGTATCGTCTTCAAAAACGTGAAATAAATGAATATCATGTATGTACAGATAACAAATGATATAAATTCTTTTTAATCTAAATATTCCTTTATATTTAGTTAACCGAATTTATTGTCACTAGTTGCTCTGCCGATAAAGTCGATGTGTTCATCCAAAATCTTTGTGATCAAACATTACAATCGGCACTTATGGGCGTAAGTTTCATATCTAACTATCAAAAAACATTGCTTATATTTCTTTGATTATTTAGCATTTTCCATCTTTAACATATTATTGCAATGAATTCGGTTCTGGTAATCGATATTGTAACAATATCAACCGATACACACTTGCTGCACAGGATGCTGGAACTAAGGTAAATAAGAAAATTTACATTTTCTTTTTTTTCTAAAAAGAACCAATTATTTCAATAGAGATTTTTATCTCGCCGATTTATACGAAGTCTTAATGAAAAAGAAATCAATACAAAAGTTGACGTATGTATATTTATATAAAATAAAATTTATATTAAAATTATTTTTTTTTGTATTTAGCTCGAACAGAAGCTGATTTTAAAAATATGTATGAAAAAAGTTGACAAACATTCAACTGAAATCGACCGGTTTTGCAATTTAACATTACAACAAATTCAGCAAGGAGTATGATAAATTATAATCTTTATATTTTGTCTTATTATTATCATGTATTTTTTTTTCTCTTTCTTATCAATTAATTATTTAGCGATATCCTGAAATTAAAAGTCTTTGCAAATTTCATCCTGGTTTCAATTATTGCCGTGATGTTCTATCATCATCTTCATTATATTCTTTGCCGTCATCACTTTTATCATCATCATCATCTACTATTACACCTGATAGTCATCGTACGTCCGTACCATTAGAATTCTCAAAATTGTCTGACGTCGAATCGGTCATTGATCAACAAAGGATGAATAAAAACATGAATAAATCACCATTATCATAATCAACAGAAAAAAAAATAATCGATGTGTAAAAGAATCTTTTGTTCTAGTTATTCTCTAAATTCTTCAAGGGCGTCATCATCATGTGAAAAGCAAAAAATATAATAAAGAAGCCCAAGTACAGCAAAACATTTAAAATATATCTTTAAAAAAAAAAAAAAGAAAAGAAATAGCAAATATTCTTTTCGCTTAACAAATATCTTGATTTCTTGTCTTATAACATTACCATATATGCATCATGTTTATTTTATTCGTTTGTATGTAAATAACAAGAAGGAATATATTAAATCATATTATTGTCAATTCTTTGTTCGAGTCATCCTCCGGTATTCAAGCTTTATGAGATAGAAATAAACAGTCATAGAGATTGAATACCAAAGAGGCAACTCATCCAATGATTTTCATAGTACGATATGAATATATATTTATTCTAACGACGTATAATATGAATGAAAGAAGACAACAGGCAACAATCATCCATTAATTAAGGCGTTGAAGTATATTTTTGAAAAAAAAATATGTCCTACATTTTCTTGTTCACCAAATACAATCTTGATAAAATCAAAATATATCGTTTACCTTTATCGACCATACTAGATGTCTTCAACTACTTGATAAATTCAATATATGAATGTGTGTATATATATATATATATATTTTCGTCTCTCTTTCTCTCTTTTTCGATATTATTGAAAACAATTATTTTTATTCTAGTGTATATTTGAATGGTGAGAAAGAAAAGAAACGAAGGAATTCGATTTCATTCTTCTACTATAATAGGTCTTCATTGTTATTGTGAACGGCACATTAGGCATAAAAGAACCAACATATTATTGTTCTTAAATATTTAATTTTATATGACAAATGTATAATACATACATTGATATGTACTCAAAAAGAACGAACAAGACAGAATAATAATCGTACTTATTGTTCTTTGATTCAAAAAATGTATTTATTGAATAGAGAAACAGAGAGACCAATACTTATAAAAGAAAAAAAAAAAAGAAAGAAAGGAATGAAATAGCAAATTCACTTTTAATTTACACATACGTAATACTAGTCGCATATAGCAAGGAATGACACAATGTGTCGAGTATTCTAGCAATAATAACAACATCAATACAAACAGAAATTTAAAACTATAGTCATACACACATATATAAATGTATAATTAATATTGACAAGAAGAAAAAAAGAATAAGTTTTATTGTATATATACTGTCGTTTGAGCAAATTTATGATATACATAACGATATTGAAGTAAAAAAACAGAACAAATTCGTTTACTTTTAATCGTAACTGCACATTGGAAAAAAAAGATAAATAAAAAAAAAATGTTCCTTTTTATCTACTAAGAATATTGAGACAAATAATATTGCAAATGTATAAAGAAAAAAGATGCATGAAAATTTAGAGAAAAAAAACCATCTGAAGTAGGAAACAGAACGACTTGATTGATAATATTTCACGATGTATTCACTGATTTTCTAAAAAAAAATAAAATTTAATATTAAATAATAAAATAAAATTTTTAATTTACTGAAGTGCTCGATGTTTTTCTTTTTCTGTAACAGTTGCTGGTGGTTCACATTCGAATGAAGCAAGCATTAAAGCTAAAAATAAATATTTATAATTAAAGATTAACTTAAATATAATTAATCTTACAATCTTCATTAAATGTTGGAGATGTAATAATATAATTAATAATTTCATCACTTCGTTCAAATGAACACTAAAAAGAAAGAAAGAAAGGAATTTTTTATTTTAAAGACAGACTAACAATCATTAAATACATACTTTACTCTGTTTACATAGCACAAAATCTTCGGAAATAAATTTTGCCATTGAATAATATTTCTATATAGAAAGAAAAAATGTATTCTCGTATTTTATAGAACCAAAAAAAGTAAAACTCTACCTTTAAATTAATACCACCAGCTGGTGTATGATCTTTACTATGTGTTTTTATATAATAAACATCTTGTAAAATAATACTAGTAAATGGTATAACAATTTTATTTGTTACCCATCCATGTTTTTCAGCTTCTTCCATAGCTACTTTAAGTACAAGACGATATGTAGCAAAATTTTTTGATACATCCATATACTGTTCAAGTTGTTGAAATTTATCTAATTGAATTTTTTCCCACTAGAATAGATATAAAAAATTTCAATATGAAAATAAATATTTATTTACAGTTTTTCTTAATCGTCGAACAGGTTGCATATTTAAACCACCTATAATAAAATAGAAAATTGAGAATAAACCACCATCAATAATAAGATCATCGAAAATTTCTTTCCCAGAATGATTATTTTTCGGACTAATATTTCAATCCCTCAAACAGATTATAATTGCAGTTTATTCCAAGAAAAATGCATTTTGTAAGTTATGTCATTGGGTAATTCTCAAAAACTCCGATCTATTATTCAGTGGCGGATCTAGGGGAGGAGGGCAATCGCCACCCCCCCCCCCTTTTTCCGAATTTTTTTTGATTTTTTACAGCAAAAAGAAACGAAAAAATAGCTTTTAGCCAAAATCGCCCCCCTCTCTTCCAAAACCCTAGATCCGCCATTGCTATGATTCGGAAAAGGTAATTTTTAAAATATTACATGAACAAAACCCGAAAACTATTTGATCTTTCACTTCCGTATAATTTTCAAATAACAGAATACAGGTCCTATAATTATTTTCTTCTTAATTAATGGTAGTTTTTACTGTATCATTTGGACATAATTAACATGCTATTTAATTACGAATAAATATACGTTCATCTGATGAAGCATATTTTTTTCTCTCGTTCAATTTACTTACCAAGTATACCAATCATAGAATTAAAATTTTGTAGACGAAAACATTCATAAGCAGTATCAATAAAATAATTAATTAAACGTACACGTGAACGTCGCTGTGTATGTTTAACAATTTCTGTTGTAATAAAAAATGTTAAACGATTAAACCATTGGATGTATGCTTCAAGACAGAATGTTAGTTTTTTATCATGTACTAATTTTTGAGATTTATGATTTGGAGTTTCACCATCAGATGCTGATGCATCAGTATTATAATTTCTATTTGGATGTGCTCGTATTTCTTCTGATGCTAATTTCATTATGAAATATTGAATTAATTCTTCTGCACCAACCGGTTTTAATCTGTCCTATGTAAAATAAATATTTTGAGACAAAAAAATAGAAATCTATTCAAAATAAATTCAAATAATACCAGTTCAATATGTGTTAGTTGTTGAGCAAATAATATTGATGTTGGACATTCATTCATAATATCCGTCTAGAAAAAACATTTTTTATAATTTCATTTCTAAAAGAATAACTTACAACTAATGCTAACTGAGTTAGATTATACATAGCTTTTTTATTCAATTGTCGAATATAATCTTCATAATGATCTAATGCTTTAAGCTAAAATAAAAATATGAAATTTTTGAAAATTTGAATTTATTAAAAATTTACTTTTGAACGAAGTTTTTTATAGATATGTTGAATATCCGATTGAAGTGTTGATTCAAATGAAGTGATTTTTTTAAAAAGATCTTCAAGTTGTAACATCATCTCACTATTGCGAAAATCATATGGAAATGTTCGTGTCCATTGTGATAGAACATAAAGAAAATTATTCATTGTTCGAATACTTCGATCCTTAAAATAAATATTTTTTTTGTGTATCGTTTTTTGTTAGTTATTTTAATCATACATGAGTCATATTTGCTATTGATTTAATCGTTAAACGTGCTAATTGATTGAATAATAAACTTGGTCGAATATTCATTCGTGAACATAAAAGCATTGGATAAATAAATGATTGCTAAAATAAGAAAGAATTAAATAAAACAATAGAAAAATAAGAATTCTTTAGAAACCTTTGGAATATAAGTATCGGTTGGTACTAAACGTTGAATAAGTGCATCCATTGAATATTCCGGAAAATCAAGTGACAGTTCACTCTCAGTCATATTTTGAATAGATTGAGATTGATCAGGCACTGGTAATGCAATACCTGTTGATGACTAAAATGAAAAGCAATTTTAATATTCAGTAGATGGAATGTATGTATAGACTAGATGTGGGCATGGTTTGGTTTTATAAAATCACGAACCATGCTCATCTTTGATATAGACTTTACTCGTCACAGGTGTACTTCACTTTCGTTCCGGTTCATTAATTTCCTCTCTAGTAAGTCAGGTATACTTGGGTTTTTTCCATTTCTGCTTAATATACATATGTTTGAATGTTTCCTTCGTTTCTCTATATTCTATCTTATCATATGCATCACGTCTTTTTGGGAATTATCTAAACCGCTATATCTGGATAACCTGATAGATATTTGATCCGCAATGATGTATATAATCTGTGATTTTTCGTGATTATATGTGCAACGCTGAAGCGAACAGTAAGTATCACTACTGAAAAGAGTTTCGATGATCTATCTTGTCGAAGTTATAATTACTATAGCACATTTACTTGATTTTTCAATTAAAAAAGTCAATAAAATTCTTTTCATAGTTTTTCAAAACGATAGCTGAACTTCGAAATAGTCAAATCTTTCTCTAATAGACATAAGTAAACAAATCGATAAATTACTTGTAGCGGAGATGATGATCTATTTGTTTGAGCACCTGGTACTACTAAAAAATTTGGATCAGCTTGGCTGTTTACAGTCGTTGGTGTTTGCTGCATCGATGGTGACTGAGTATATGGATATTGTATACTTGAATTAGTCGATATCGAACTTTGATGTTGATTTGTAACTGGATTTGATCGAACACGTGCATGAATATTATCATAATATGCAATAGAAGCTAACCCACCATTTTCAAAATTATATACATTAGGATTAGTCATTTGTTGTGGAGGATTATTTGGATAGAATTGATGTTGTATATCACTACCATATTGATTCGAATTATTCGATTTCGATGATAATGGATTGAATGTTTGTTGTTGAGATTTAATATTATCCTGTCTAACAGCTTGATATAATTGATGTATATGAGAATTAGGTGTAAATGTTGTTGGATAATAATTAACATAAGATGAATGCATTGGACCATTACCCGTATAAAATCCAATAGATGGATCATGACCATACATCGTACCATTCATATTAAACTATGAAAGAAAAAGAAAAACACAATGAAATTATTATTTGTTTTTTTTTGTTCATTCTATAAAACAAAACAACAATATTCTCTATTGACACAAAGAAAAGAAAAAAAGAAACGATTCATTTCATTCATTCACATTAAAAAAAAACTTGACAATTTTTTTGTTTGTTGCAATCATTTAAAATACATATATACATATACACAAGAAGCATTACGATATTTAAAAAAAACGAAGAAACAAATGGACGGATAAGAAAAATTGGAAAAAAGAATTTTGGTCAATGTAATTTAGAATGTTTATCAATTCTATTGAATGATTTAAAATCTCGACTATCTCCTCCTCCTCCTGTACTCATATCAATACTTGTTTCTTCTGATCTATCAGAAGTTATATCTTCAACATATTGCGGGTGATCCATTGCGGTATGTAATGACGATTTTTTATTCATTGTATCAGTACCATTGATTAATGGTGTAAGTTTCTTTTTATGAAGAAATGCTTTGTTTAATGATTGTTTAGAATTATTTGTAACATCTTCTAATGTTTTTGTTGAATTTGAAGAATATTCATCGGTAACTGATGAAGTTGATTTAGCACTATGAATTGGTTTTAAACGACCACTTGGTGGTCGCATTTGATTTGAATTCGGTAAAGAATTGGATACAAATATATCAGATATGGATTGTTTTGTTCGAAAAACTTTTTGACCAGCAACTGTTAAATCAAGTGCTGGTATAGATTCAGTTGAACTTGATTTTGAACCTGATTTAAGTCGATTAGATATGGATTGATTTCCATTACTAGAACCAATACGATTTAATGATGGTTGTAGAAAATCTTTGCTGATTGCTGAACGAATTGGTTGTTTCGATACACTTGTAAATGCTGATGGTTGCTGTTGTTGTTCATCAAATGGACGATAATCATCATATGCTAAATTTTTATTTGATTGTTTAGATTTTTTATAGTGTGGACGATGAAATGTCGTATTTGATTGTTGCTGTTGTTGAAATCGATTATCATTATGACGTAAAAATCGATGAGAATTAGATTGTTCATGTTGTCGATTTGAATTATCATCTTCGCTATTATGACCTTGAAGACTATTGCCTCCATCATCATCATCCTCCTCATCTGAATGAGATGAATTTGCAGGAATAAAATGATGATTAGGATTTATTTTAGGTTTTATAATTGAATTATTAGGTGTTGTTATATTTTTTCGAGGTTTAATAGGTGGTGCTAGAAGTGAATTATTTGTTGTTGATGATACTGGTCGAAATTGTTGTTGATTATGATCTTCTTCTTCTTCATTATCATTAAATCCATTTGATGAAGAATTAAAATGAGTTATTGTATGAGAAAATTTTTCTGTTGAAAGTATAGGTGATGTTGATGAATTTTTTATTGGTAATGATTCATTTAATGAACGATGACCATTACGACGAATAAATGTAGCATGACCATTAACTGGTGGTGTTGGTGTTACATCATTACCATTTAATTTCATTATATTATTATTAAAACTACGTGTTGTTGATGGACGACTATTAATATTATTGGAATTTTTTTCACGTAAATATACTTCAAATACACTTCGACAAAAATAGAGACCACGATTTTGAGCATAATCAAATGATGATATACCTTGTATATCTATATGATAAATAATAAATAGAAAAAAAATAGAAAATATTTTTTTCTTTTACCATTAAGATCTGGATCAGCACCATGATCTAATAATTCTTTTAATACACGAGCATGTCCATGTTTAGTTGCTAAATGAAGTGGAGTTTGCTGAGATTTATCACCATCATGTATATAAGAATGATTATTTGTTTGTTCACTCATATCAAATATAAGACGACAAGATTGAACTGAACCTTGTTCAGCTGCGACATGTAAACATGTTTTACCATCATTATCACGTAATAAAATTGATTCCGATGATAATAAATATTTTAAACATTTTAATGGTTCCGTTTTTCTTACACTATGATGAATCCATGTTCGACCATCATTATCTGTTTCTATACTATCATTCATATGTTGAGATAATTCCTTTTAATATAAAATAAAATAAATCTTTTTTTTGAAAACTAAATCTTACTATAAAATGTTCAAAACGATCAAGATGACATGCCCACATAGCCGCTGTCATACCATCGATATCTTTAATATGTACATCAATATTATATTCAATTAATAATTTTAAACAATCAATATTTTCAGCTAACACTGCCCAATGTAATGGTGAGCGTAAATGTACATCTTGTTTAGTAACATCAGCATTATTTTCTAATAAAATTTTTACTATTTCAATATTACATTGTTGTCCTTCATCTGTATAACAAGCACGATGTAAACATGTTGAACCATCATTAGCTTGAAAATTAATATTTATTGATGATTTACATTCAAGTAATAAATAACGTAAAATATGTATTTGTTGATATTGTACAGCATATGTTAATAAATCTCTTCCAAATGAATCAACACAATCAATTAATTCTGTATCAGAATTTAATAATTCTTTAACATATCGTAAATCACCTTCACGTACAGCAATAATAATAGGTGATAAATTAAGAAAATTAGTTAAAGAATGTTTTGGAATTGTTTGTTTAACTTTATGTGATTCAATATCAATCCATGGCCATTCAAATTTATCAGGTGCTTCACGAAATGGTGTTAATGGACTTAAACCACGTTCAAGTGTCCATTGTAATGGTTTTTGTTCTTTATCACGTTTTTGTAATATTAAATAGTATTGTTGTAAAAAATGAAGACCATGTAATAAAGTATCACGTAAACGTGAATTAATTTCTTCATCAGGTAATTTAAGTAAAAATTCGAGTATAGTTGATGATGTCTTCTGAAAGTCTTTACGTTTGATAGCCATTATATGAATGCATATGCATATATATATATATATATATGTGTTCTTTTTACTATAACACCCACATCTGTAATATAAATAAAGATACTTTTCGATCAAGGAACAAATAGCAACATAAGCAAATAATCAAATTGGTGATTACCATAAAAAAAATGTCATAGAGAAAATGCGAGACAAAAAAAAGAAATAGATGAACTATAAAATTTTATTATGATAAATTCGAAATTCTTCTTTTTCTCTTTCATCAATTGTATGAGAAGATTTTCAACTATGTATAAATTTCTTTTATATTTATATTCAGTACGTGAAAAATGTCGAATAAAGTAACACTTACTCTAATCAAGTATGTGTAATAGAGTATAAGTATTTAAAGATATATAAGAAATATACAATGAGAGAGAGAGAGACAGACATGCAAACGAACAATCACGATGAACTTTCAAAGTTAATCGATAGACCGATGAGATGAGGTAGAGCGTGCACACATGTTGTCGTGGTTGGCATGCGAGCAGAACGAGAGAAAACAACAAAGTTGAAATACGAAACTTTTTTTTCTTCTTTTCTTCTTCTCTCTCTCTCTTTTACTCACACACACAATTGCTTGAGTGTCGTTATGATGCAGGAGGCTATCGTACTTCGCTCTGTAGCTTACTGCTTCTATATTGCATGAAAGAGAGGAGAAGAAGAAGAAGAAGAAGAATAAAAAGAAGACGAAGAAGAACAATATACAAAAAAAGCTGACTGACCAATTTCCACTTTGATAAAGAGAGAAAAAAAAGAAGCAAAGGTGAATAAATCTAATATATAGAATCATAAAATATAAAGACTAAAATTTTATAAATATGTTTCTTTTGCACATGTAATCATTGTTGAAAATAATTTCATAAATGCCGTATCTTTCGGTCGTTGAAGTCCACGTTCAAGACGATTTTTCATAATATGTATAAATTCTACATATGATAATAATTGATCTTCATCATCATCAAATATTGTAAATACAACATCAACTAAATGTGAATCAAGATCAATATGATTAACAGTTTTCGCTACATGACGAAATATTTGTTTATCAATTGCACCACCAGCTATATGATAAAATGTTAATGCAACATCAATATCATGAATATTACGAAGAAAATTATAAAAATTTTTATAATCATTAAACGATATTCCAACTGATTTTTCAATTGGATATGCTTTTTTTATACGTTTTAACATTTTTTTAACACGTTTGTCTGATAAACCTGAATATGCAAGTAATGATGTTGCAAAATCTAATTCTCTCATACGTGTTTTATCATTAGGACATTTCGTCGAACGATGAAATTCTAATTGTAAAATTTCTTTTTGTAATTGTTCATAAAAATGTAAAAATTTTTCAACAGTTAATAATTGATCAAGATTTTCTCCAAAAAAATAATGATTAACAATTGATGTTTCACGTAAAATATTTCCTGTTGTAGAATGATCACGATGTCTTTGTCCAATACTTGTTTGTTCACGTATTAAATTTTTTAATTTTGCAAATTCATCAAAATCAAAATTTCCATTACCATCAAAATCAAACATTTGAAATGCTATTTGAAAATAACGTCTTGGTGTTGATAATAATGTAACAAGAAATATATAATCACTAAATGTAATTAAACATTGTTTACCACCAATAAGTTCAAATATAGATTGTTCATCAGAATTTAAAGCTGAAGAATATAAATACGAATTCCTTTGGTCAAGTTTCTCCGGTGGATCAACACGTGCATCATAACGATAAAATTTATCAAGTTCTAAACCATCCGGTTGTTTTAAACCTGCGTAAAAAAAAGGGAAAAGATTAGATTTATATGAATAGTTTTGATTTACCTGGTGTAATTGATCGAAGAAAATCATCGGGTGTCATGCAAATGATACCTTAAAAGAGAATATTGATTTTGATTTAAAGAAAAACAAAATTTTTACCATCGGGATTATCATCATTAGAAACTTTTAATGTAGCAAAATATCGAAATATTTTATCGGGTGTTGAAAAAGCTCGTAGACGATTTTCATAAGCAATTTTTTTCTTATCACGAAATGATAATTTATTTTTTGCTTCTTTTTTGGATTTTTCAACTTTGCGTGTTACCTGTATAGAATAAAGAAAGAAAGAAAATAAATAGGGTTTAATATTGTCATGGAAATAAAATGTTTTAGTCAAAAAAAAAAGAAATAAGAAATTATTAATGAAATGGAATAAATATTATTTCACCTTTTAACAAAAGTGTTACCTTGGAATTGATGCATAAAATGCAATTTTCTTGTCAAACTAATCAACAAGAAGCATTCTTTTTAAAATTATGTAATCATAAATGCATGTTTTCCGTTAAATTGAATAAAGAGTATCTGATGTGAGGAAATTATTCTCTTACATAAGAATTTTTTTTTCTTTTTATTGTACAAAAGAAAGAAAATTAGAGTAGTGTACTTATAAAGAACTGATGTAATGTATATAATGAACTAATTGGATCGAATAATTTTCTTTTACGAGCAGTAATGAATATTATATTTGTTTGAAGTTATTAGGTACTATATGTTCGATAATAAAACAGAAATATGTGACAATAGATAGAAAATTATAAGTGTCTTGTCATCTCATTTCTACTCATAAATCAATAGCAATTTTCTAATTATTTTAAAAAGATATAAGAAAAAGAAATGATTACTATGAAATAAAGTTTTTATTTTTTTTTAAGAATTTTAAAATTTGAAAGTATTGTTATAGTAGCACGTTCATATATTAAATAAACTATTTCCTACAACAAAAAGAGATTATAGAAACCTCTGATAAATTTTTTTCATCATTTTCTTCATTTGAATCATTGCTGTTTGCTTCTACTGCTGGTAAAATAGTTGCGGCTTTAACATTAGAAAAAACATCCAAACGTCGTTGAGTTTCTTTTGGATTAATGAATGTATTTCTTTCAGCAGCTTGAGTTGTACTCATTGGTTGTATCCAACGATCTTCAAATTCCGTGACATTCCTATAAAATACATAAATAAAAAATATTTTTAATGACATTCTATAATTCCATTAGAGTTTGAAAAGTTAACAGAGTCATTTTTTATTCCTATGGTTCCCATCTAAATCTATCTCGAACAAATATAAAGTAGAATTCCCCTTGCATGTGCGCCTTTGTTCACTTAGCGGAGGTGCCCTTATAGGAAGGTTTTGCTATCATGGCATCTTAGTACTAACACAAAAATCATCATAGGTAAAAACAATTTTTCGACAATCTCAAATCGAAATATATGAAGAAGAAAAAAACTGTATAATTTAAAACTAACGTTAAATAGAAAACTGCATATGCTCCAATAATTATTAGAAAGAAATGCATATAATGAACAATATGATGTCCCGGTGGTCTAATATGTCTTCTATGTCCATAATTTGTATATCCAAAACTAAATTTTAATTTTCTTGTACGATATGGTTGATTAAGTATAACCGGTAAACGAGCTGAAAGTAATGATCGTTCATTTTGATTATATTGTTGATTAGTTAAAGTTCGAATTATATTTGAAGATGATATAACACTTGTTGATCTTAATAAAGATGGCGAACATAATCGCCATATATTATTTTGTTGTTGTTTAAATATTCCTAGTAATATCATCTAGAAAAAGAAAAAAAGATAAAGAACATTCTACAAAAAATCGATACACCTAGTGTAAAAAAAAGCGAACAGCGGACGGAGAAAAAAAATTTTTCTAAATATAAATATATATATATATATCAGACATAAATTACATTGGATCTTGGATTTCGGTCATAAATGTACTTAAATGTTTCATACGTTCTTCCCATTTCTTTTTACGTTGATTTGTATCATGTAATAATATACGCATTTCATCTTCAACTTCATTAATACGAATTTGTGCTTGTTGAAGTTTTTCTTCATAATTTTTTTGCATTTGATTTAATGTTTGTCGATGACCATGTTCAATTGTTTCAAATTGACGACGAAAATCATCATCACGTTGACGAAGTTTATCTTCTGTTTGTCTAGAATAGAAAATAAATGAAATATTCAGTTCTTTTTTTCGTTTTTGTTTACTTTTGTGCTTCAATTAAACGATTATTTTCATCAATAAGTTTCTTTTCATTTGTTTGATAGTTTTCTGAAGCTCGTCGAATTTTATTATCAAGTTCAGCTATTAAATCAGATTTTTCCTTCCATTTACGACTTAATGCACTAGGAAACGAAGAGAAAATTTAAATCTAATTTCAAAAATATTCAAAACCAGTACTTATAATCATTTTTGCTTTTTTCAAGTTGTTGTTGCATTTGATGCATATCATTTTTAATTGAATCACGTTTTTCACAAACTTTCTCATATTTTTCTTGTAATTCTTGATAAAGCAATTGTTCATCTTGCAATTGTTGTTCAAGTTCTTTGTGACGAAGTAATAAATCTTCACGAGCTTTCTTAATTGTATCATCACGTTCAACAACACCCTTAAAATAAAGAACAAATATGTTTTATTCATATTCAAAAGTATTTATAATTCAAAAGAGTCAGCTGGCGAATGTGTTATTCTGTATCTTAATGCTATTTGATACAAAATATCTCACTATATGAATTATTGCTATCTAAAATTAGAATAAATATCGATACCGGTTCTAATATAGAGAAAAATATTTGTAATAATGCTAAGAAACTAGGCCACTTGAACTTATAGAATATTTATGGGTATTTCGTAGTTCTGATTTAAAGTAAAAGTCCTACTTGTACTCATGAAAAATATATGCTAGCAAAATCGATAACACCCAGGGGCGTAGTCAGGGGGTGTGCAAAGGGTGCAGGTGCACACCCCTTGAGAAAAAAGTACCTGTAGGGAGCACGGGGAAAACTTTTCCTACAGCTGTGCACAACTTTTGAAAATTAGCTACTCAATACTTTCTCCTTGTCAAACTATCGACTCATAACAGATTATCTTTCATCGATCACAATTACTGAGTATAGAAATAAATAATTACATCTTTAAGTTTTTGAATTGTGTCTAATTGACTTTCAATAATTGTTTGTTTAATACGACATGTATCAACTTCTTTATCTAATTGTTTTTTTAATGTATTGACTTCACTAGTTAAAGTTTGTATTGTTGATTCTAAACGACCACGATCTTGAGCTAATGAAGCACCTAATCGAAATATAAAAAATTTAATCGATAAATATTGATTTCATATGAGAAATATTTCATATACCTTGATGTGCTAATTCATGACTCCATAATTTTTTTTCTTCTCTTAAACCAGATAATATTGATTCTTGAGCAATAAGACGTGCATCGATTTCACGACGTTCTTTTTGTAATATTAATATTTGTTCACGAATTTTTTTTAATTCATCTATAGCACGTTCTAATTTCGTTGTTAAATGTTTATTTTGATGAGTTAAATTATCATTCGTTTTTGTTCGTTCTTGTAAACGTTGTTTTTGTTCTCGTACTAACTATTAAATATATATATATATAAATATAACATTAATTTTTATGTATAGGTACTTACCACCATTAAATCATTAACCATTTTTCGATCAGATTCTTCACGTTGTTTGATATTTGTTGAAGAAGATTGAAGAAGTTCATTCTCTTTTTGAATAATTTCATTCGTTTTAAATAACTAAACGACAAATGAAGATAAAACTCTTTTCTGATTATAATATATTTTTGTATAGAAAAACTAAGTTAAGAATAATTTCTCCATCCAAACGAATATTTACTTCTTGATATCGACGTTCTTCGATTTTCAAAGCATCACGAAATTCATCTTCCAATTTTTTGTATTCAACTGCTAATGATTGTAATCTAAGGAAAAATGGAAAAAATGAATCGTAAAGGTTATTTTTATCTTACTTTTCTTGTTGATGTGTTAATTCATTTCGATGAATATCTTCTCTTCTTTGAATTTCTTGCTTGAGATATTGTTGTACTTCAATTGCCTGTAAATCAATTCGACATTTTTCAAGTTCTTGTCTAAATAAAATAATCAATATAAATGTTTGTTTTTATTTAATTTTCTATATACTTATGTTGAATTTCTCTTGTTGTATAAAGTTCTTGACATTCACGTAATTGTTGTTTCGTTGTTTTTAATTCTTGTTGTAATATTTCTTTTTCATTTTGTAATGCATTTGAACGACGTTCCCAATTTCGATTTTTCTCATTCTTAAAATATTTTAATTAATTACGAAAATAAAAATTTATTGTATATTTACCTCTGTTATACGAATTTCACTTTTATCACTTTCTAATTTACTTAAATTACTTTCAAGAGTTTTTATTAATTGTAAATTTGTTTCATGAGCTTTTTTGTATGATGATAATTGATCTTCTGTACTTCGAAGACGTGCCTATAAAATATTCAGAAAAAAATTTATGCATAAGTCAATAAGAGAATTTGATCTGAACAAGAAAGACATTCGATCCAACAATATGGAATGTTTTAAAAAAATAATTTCGTTAGAACAAACATTTTCTATAACTAAGAGTAACTGTAGCTATAGACAGAAAGCTAGGGGGAAACAGCGGACTTCAAGACTTCGAAAGACTTCAATAGATTTCAGAAGACTTCAATAGACTTCAAAAGACTTTCAAGACTTCATGAATGAAGTCTCTGTTGTTTATTCCTCGTCTCCTCGTGGAATACATGCATCCATAGAAATTCTAGAAGACTTCATGGAACTTCAGGCGTGAAGTCTCTGTTGTTTCCCCATCGAGAGAAAGTCAGTCTGATTAACTTCATGCGAGTCTTCAGATCAGTAGATTTTTCTATTAGAATGTTGCTATTGAGGCCCACAATAATATTAAATTCGAGATCAACCCTACAAATAGGAAATGTCGCATCTCAGATTTTTAGGATACTTAATACCTCTCGAATTAGCAATTAGATAGATCTTAGTCAGTGTTTTATTTAGGTTTTTCCTTTCGAGAGTGCGACAGCGATTTCCGGGAGGGCGAAAACCTAATTTTTGGGGAGCAAATACATAGTATAAGCACAAAATTTGCAATTTTCGGGAGGACAAAATCGTTCTCCGAGAGGGCGCCGCCATCACTGTCTTCTCTCTAGATAAATCAATGATCTTAGTATCGATAATTATGAATTTTATTTACTTTATAATCATCTAGAATTGTAGTTAAATCTTGAAATTTCGATTTTTCATCAACTAATCTTTGTTTATGTTTTTCTGTTAATTCTTGTATAATTGATTCATTTGTTCGATCATCATTTGCTAAAAATTTGAAAAGATTGTTTTAAATTTCTATAATTTAATTAAAATAAACATACGTCGATTTTTAAATTCATTAATAATATCATTTAAATGTTTGATTTCTTGTTCAGCACGCCAACGTTTATCACGTTCATTATCTAAATCATGTAATGTTGCTCGATAAATTTCATTCATATCATCATTTTCATTATCTCGATTTGAACGATAATGATATTCATCACAATCATGTTCACATGTTGTATTATATAAATGTTGATGAGAATTTATTGAAAATGGACGAGTATTTTCATCGATCATACTATGAGATTTGGTTTGAAGGTTCGACGGTGGTGGAGGAGAAGATGAATTATTTAATGTCATATGAGTTTTAGTAGAAAGTTTTTTACTAAAATATAAAATGAAAATTATGTTGATATATATATGTGTATTTATACGTTGTTGTTGGTTGTTGTCGTGGTGTAGATTGTACAACAGCATTACTAGCTGTTGATCGTGGTTTTAATCGAGAAGTTTTTATTGGCATTGAATCAGATTCATTATCTGTAGATGGAGATCGAGCTATAACAAAAAGCCGATTATGAATGAAAAATTATGAAAATGATAAAAACCTGAACGTTTATCATGATTTACAGGACGTCGAGTTGTAGGTTTAGTACTACGCGGGACACATTCACTTTCGACTGCCTGAAACAAAATAAAGATTATATAAAAGAAAATTTCGATTATAATCTATCGCATACTGAAAGAGATCCATTTTGGATATCAACACTTGTTGTTGTACTTGATTCCATAGGTTTTGGATTATGTCGAAGAGCATTTAGTGCTGCAGCTATTTTCGGATATTGATGTGATATTGAATTGGTTACATCATGCTTAATTATTAAATGAAAAAAAATAATAAAACTATCAATTAATATTAAACATACTAATTGTTCTCTTGTATCATTGGTTAAACCAACATACTGTTCAATTCCTAAATAATTTTCCCATAAAATAATAAATAAATATCAAAAATAAAAATACCTGTAAGACCTTGACTATTCATATCTTTTTTTCCATGTTTATCCATTCCATCAAGACTAATTAATGTTCGAAGACGATTAAATAATGTTACTCGATACGCTATTTACAAATAAAAAATAATTAAAATAATAAGCATGAATGTTTTTACCATCTTTTTTTGCAATTGGATTTTCTCGAAAAGTAAGATGTTGTAAACGAGAAAGTCCGTTTAAATTTTTAACAATATCATCCAAAGAACTAATTCAACAATAAACTAATTTATTTATTACTTAAACTGTATTCTCTTACTCGATTTGATTTCCATGTATTTGAATAATCGCTAAATTATATTCTGGTCCCCAGAGATCTTGAAAACCTTGTAAATATTCAATTTTATTATATGATAAATTAAGCCAAGATAATTTTCTAGAAAAAAGAATTTTCTTGTTTGACAAAAAAAGAATTTCTATTTATAATTTACTTTAATGCAAATAAACCTTCGACAACAACAATTTTATTCGATGCTAAATTTAATGTATCTAATGAAACAAGACCTTCAAGACCTTGTATACGTATTATATTATTTGATGATAAATCAAGATGAGTTAAATAATTTAAACCAGTTAAACCATTTATTCGTTCAATTTCATTGGAATGTAAATTAATTGAAAGTAAATTTTTATGTAAAGGAATTTCATCAATATTTCGAATTCCATGTGCCATAAGACTAAGATCAGTTGTTTTCAAATTTAATTGATCATTATTATTTAAATCAAAATCCATTATTAAAAAATCTTGAGATTATATATATACACACAAATATTACATATACATAAAATATTTGAAAAAATAATAATCATATAAGTTGTAATGATTCAGAAATACCACTAACGACATCTATATGCATTAATGTGATAGATTTCGTGAAAAAAGCATAGTAAAGAAGGTGTTGGCACAGTAATAGAAAACATGAATGGCTGATGTACACAGTTTGTGTATAGAAGAACATTGATTAAGATATAACGACCAAAAATGGTGGCCAGCGTTGAAACTATGACAAACAGGTATGATATTACAATTTTGATCACTTATTGATGAATAGAAATATTATCTCTATTGAACAACTTCTATTATATATACACATATTAGAATTTACAAAGTACTAAAGATAAAGTATCACTGTTTCAATTCGTAATAAATATAAGATTGCAGAGAAACTAATAGTTAACCTTGAGTTGGTGATCATTTTTTTGAAATAAACAACATTTAGAATGATAGAATCAGTTAATAGGTTTTATCTATCTAAATATTCTATTGGAAACATAAGATTCGGATTCTTAGGCATAGTAAATAATTTCGTCCGATGTTTACAATTTTTAGTGCTCCATATGTCTATGATTCAATAGCATCAACATCTTCATTAGATCCTCCAACGATCATTCGATTAGCTGAAGAAAAAATACGTGTTAAAACCATTGCATCAGGTCTTCGTATAACTGAATTTTTCATTGATTTTGATCGTCTTCGTTCGGGTTTTGTTACATCATCACAATTTAAACGGTAAATATTTGTAGAATTTTTTATTTTATTTATATCACTATTGTTTATTTAGATGTTTGGATACGAATCTTCGTGTTCAATTATTACCTGAAGAAGAACAATTACTCTTTCAAAAATATGATCTTAAACATGATGGAAACATTTGCTATCGAGAATTTTGTGATGTCATTAATCGAAGTGAGTCATAGTATGAACATATCTCCTATCTAAATATTAATTCTAGAATATCCTGAAACAACAATAACACCACATCCTGAAAGTTATACTAATGCTGCTCCACCTTATCTCAATTCATGGCGATCAACTCGTCATATAGGTGCACAAGATGAAAGTGAACGTTTAAAAGATGTTCTTCAACGCATTGCTACACATTGTAAACAACGTCGTATTGATGTTTTACAAGCCATGGAAAATTATGATAAACATAAAATGGGTGAAATAACTGATAGTCAATTCTATCGTGCTTTTGTTGGACCACAATTAACAGAAGCAGAAATGACACTTCTTCGGGATAAATATTCTGATCCAGAAAAACCAGGTTTAATGAATTATTTAAATTTTGTACAAGATCTTAATAGATATTCACGTACAAATGATACAACATTATTTCCTACAAATAATGGCAACAATATGGAACAAACTCCATTTATTGGTATTGAAGAAAAAGTAAAATGTTTTTTTTTTATTAATATTATTTTATATATTTATATGTATAGCCTGAACAACGTTCAATACAAGAAATTTTAGATAAAATTCGTATAGCAACATTTAAATATGGTGTACGTATATCAGATTTTTTTAAAGATTATGATAAACTACGTAGTGGAATAATGACTGAAACTCAATTTGAAAGTGCACTTTCATTAAGTATACAAAAACAAGCTTTTCTTAATATGAATGATATTAAAAAAATAGCTGAATATTATCGAAGACCTGATGGACGAGTTTATTATAAAGAATTTGTTGATTCAATGGAAAATGCTTTTAACATTCCTGAATTAGAAAAAAAACCTTTAACACAAGTTCATCGGCCAGGACAAGGACTTTTATCAAGAGTATGACATATATAACTTATCGATCTATTATGAAAAAAAAATTTGTATTTTTAGCCACTTAATACAAATTTATCACCCGAAGAAGAAGATCGTGTTGCAGAAATACTTGATGTTATCATTGAAAAAGTTAAAAAACGTCGTTTAGAACTTTTTCGATTTTTTAAACCATATGACCGAGTAAATAGTTTTCTTTTCAAAACGAAATTACAATATTTGTATCTTTGCTTAGAGTAAAGCATTTACACGTGCTTGTACAAAACATCAATTTGGACGTGTACTTCGAACACTTGATTTAATTCCATCACCTTATGATTTTAATATACTTTGTAAGAAGTTTGAAGATCGAGAAAATGGTGATGTTAATTATGCATTATTCTGTCAAATGACTGAACAAGGTATGATAAGGACTTAGAGATTGGAAAGATATATTATAAAATATGTTTATTGAATAGATTTTGTTGCGATTAAAGTTGAATCAGAAGTCGAATTTCCATTTGAACGTGCTCGTATAGATGAAGAACAAAAACGAGATAAATTAAACGTCACAATCGATACATCCAATGTTGATTTGAATGATTTAATGGGTCGTATTCGACATCATGTTTTGATTAAGCGAATTCGTGTATGTAATAATGATTGATTTGTGAATCTATTGTCATTTTTTTTATGTAGGTAAAAGAATTTTTTGAAGATTTTGATCCACTTCGTTTGGGTACAGTTAGTCAAGCACGATTTATTCGTGTTTTGGCTAGTTTAGGTCTTACTGGTCTTGATGGAATTCCATTAACTGAAGCACAAATGTTTGCTTTATGTGATCATTATCGTCATCCAGAACAACGTGATCTCATTCAATGGAAACAATTCGAACAAGATGTTGAATCAGGTTTATAAAATTTTATTTATATAATCGAAATCACTGTTTGCTTTGTTTTAATAATATAGTTTTTACATTATCTGATTTGGAAAAAGTACCAACACTTAAAGTTTCACCACAAACAATCTATGAAATGCCAACAACTGGTACACCTGCATGGTGTAATATCGATCCATATAATAAAGAAGAATTACATCAAGCAATGCAAACATGGAAAACAAATTGTGAACAACGACGTATTGATTTATATCATACATTTAAACAATTTGATAGGTTAGAAATTCAAGTATATCAAATTTCTAATGTTTGTTTGTTTTTTTTCCTTAGACATAATCGTGGTCATGTAACTCGAGGACAATTTCGTCAATGTTTAGCCATAGCTGGTTTACCATATACACAAAAAGAATTAGAAGCTGTTGAAGCAGCTTTGATTGATGATGATGGTTTTCATTATCGCCGTTTTCGTGAATGGATTCAACCACGTCGTATTGATCCATTTCGTTATAATATCTTACAACAAGAATTGAAAGATTTAAATAAACAAAAAATTCTACCTGAAGGAAATCCATTATCAAGTATTCAAGATGTTTTACAAAAAATTAAAGGACAAGTAAATAAATTCTTGTATTTATTCGAAATACTAATAATTTTTTTTCTCAAAGGTATTTCGTCGTCGTATACGTCTTTATGAATGGCTTAAGGATCACGATAAATTAAATTGTGGTCGATTACCATGTGATACATTTCGTCGTGCTATAAATCCATGTCAATTAGAATTAACAGAAAGTGAATTATCTTTACTTGAAGATTAGTAAGTAAAAAAATGTTTTCTATTTTGTTTCTTAAGTGGTTTAACATTGAAAAAGATCGAGTAAACTTTGTACAGTTGTTTCAGCAGTATTTTTTGATGCTTCTCTATTGATTAAATGATATGTTGATTCAAGTAATAGTAGTATCATTTATTTCTCATACCAACATCACTTTTTTGAAGTGATTCATCCTTTGAACGAGAAATATATCAATGGCACACATACCGATCCAAAGTAAAATTATGTTGTTTTGTTCGAAAAAAGCTGTTAGTGCAATCCCTGGCGGGATTAAAATGTGAAACACGATCTAACTGATGTTTCTACCTTCAAGAAGATAGTTTAATTGTATCTTTTTGAAGCGGATTTAGCCTCATTCTGTGGCATAATGGTATAGAAATACAGGAAAGAAATAATTTATATATGATGCACTCGCTTTATTAGTGTTTTAACAGTTGTGTGAGTGTCGATATCGTAATCATTGCTCGTTTATGTCTACACCCATACCCTATATAAAGGTCTATGATACCTTATCGATCAGGGCTGTGACCAGGTCAAAAGAACATTTGTCGATCATATCTGCGATTCCGTGTCGGTCACGTCTGTAACGGTCTGTGATTTTTTGTCGGTCACGTCAGTGGGGGAAGGGGGGCGGGGGGTAGTGGGTCTAAATTTCTACCTCTAAATACTTCAACACTCCTTTTAGATCGTGTTTCACAAAATGCATGATGTATATTTCGATTGACTGATAGTAAAAGAGCAATTGAATGTTCAGTGACAGCATAGGGTGAATATCGAGGTACACGACATACTTTTATATCATATAATTTTGAATCAAAAAAGAGACGTAAAATAATAAAATTTGTGGGTTGTTTCGAGATAGGTATGAGTATATGTGTTTGGTTTTTTTTATTCTAGTTATCGATCACGTATTGATGTTAATGCTATTGAATATAAAAAGTTTTGTGAAGAAATTGAATCAATATTTACAACAGATTTTCTTGAAAAGAATCCACTTGTTGAATCCGAACAATATGTACCGATTAAAGATACAACAAATATTCAATTAGATCCTGATAAAGAAGATCGAGTTCAAATTTTAATGAATAAAATGGGTGAACGTGTAAGTTTGATATTTCAATTTATATTAATCTATTTATATTTTGAATCTTTTAATAAGGTTCATGCACGTCGTTTACAATTATTTCCCTTATTTGAAGATTTCGATCGTGTTCGTAATGGTCATGTCACACAAAATCAATTTTTACGTGTATTAAATGATCTTGGTATGTTAACAATGTTGAGTGGTTTTGAAAAAGATAATTTATTAGCAAAATTTCGTGTTCGTGTTGGTGGACGTGATGATATGGATTATATTACATTTTGCCATGAACTCAATACTTTAGCTGGTTTTGAAGCTGGAATACCATAAACAATTTTAACAATTTTTGTGCCTGGAATAAAGACATATAAACCTTCATACATTTATTTTATAATTCTTTTACCAAAAAAATACAATAAAAGAATGAATAAACTACACAAAAAAAGAATGACATTTGTATAAAAATAATATTGAATATAGATAAAAGTAACTCAAAAGATGTTTGTTGAAGAAGTTAAGCGTGCTAATGTACCATCATTCATAACCTAAAGTAAAAAGTACTTCTTACAATAAATATTAAAAACATATGATTTGTATTAATTAGCATAGAGAGAAACTAAATAGAAAGATTTATTATTCTTTAAAAATAGATTTTATTTATTTACCGATATCACTCTATTGAAGTAATTCATCCATCGTTAAATATATTCAATACATTTTTCTTTTGCTATTACGTCATTAGGTTTAATATTGAAACATGTAACTTTATAACCAATAATACCGACAGTTTTTCCAAAACTATCTCCAAAGTAAAATTATGTAATTTTGTTCAGAAGAATGCATATTACGGTTGACGGATAGTTAGAGAGCTACTAAATGTTCGGCAATAGCATGTGGTGAAAAACGTGATACTTGACATATTTCAATATCATAATTTTTAGAGGTTTCTATAACGATGAATCACTATATCCAGCACTAAGTAAAGCAATTGTTTTTCGATAATATAAGAGTTTTAAGTATTACTATTTACAATATAAATTTTGTCATTTTATTTACTCTGAAGAAATGTAAATTGAAGTTTATCTTGATCATTAAATAACTTTAAATCTTGTTGAAATATATTTTCATCATCTGATTTGGAAGGGTATGGGTGTAAATGTTACAACAATTACACGCGCACATTCATCTAATTAAATTCAATTTTGAGGAAAAAACCAAAAAGAACTTTCTTCGTTCTTTTCTTATTAAAGTTTTTTTTCATTTTTATTTCTTCATTTTTCATTCAGTAAAAAGTTTATTTTATTTTTTTCAAAATCAAAAGTTTATTTACAAAATTATTTCAAATTTTACAATTAGATGATTTAAACAATCAGCAACATAAAGATTTCCTTCATCATCGAAAGATAGACCTGTGGGATGATTCAATTGATTTTCTTGACCGTTTCCACCAACAACAATTTCACCTTCTTCTTTTCCTTCACACCAACG